AAAAAAAAAAAAAAAAAAAAAAAAAAAAAGCACAAGAGGACTTGTATTCTAATGTACAGTATTGTAATTTAATGCCCGCTGATGCAAGAATAAAAATGGAAAACTGAAGCGGCTGGAGCCGGGACAGAATAAAATTCAAAACAAATATGTAGGAGTTCAAAACAAATATTCCATGAAAGAAATACTAAGAAAATCAGGCAGGAAAGAAAATTCACACGAGTCATTGCTCCCAACTTCAGTCATCAAATGCAAATAACCGATACTCTTCTTGGGAATTTCGTTCTGCAGGGGACACAGCAGTTTTTCCACATATGGGGGAAAAATGAAGTATCGGAACTGTTGGTAAAACTGAAAATGCAGTTATTATACTCACGAAATGCTGAGGTTCTCCAACAGTCCTTCGTGTTTCATGAGCTGGGCTTTGAGGGCATCGTAAGTGATTTCGTTGCCTGTGGCATCTGCGTCCTCATACAGGGCATACGTGAGGTCCTCAATTTGCTCATCGCTGAAATTCATGCCATTTTCATCCATGCATGCCCTAAGCACAGCCTGCAACTCGGTCCTCTGAATCAGGCCATCCCCTGATTAAAAATAAAAAAAACCCACACAAGAGCGTCCTCAATAACATGCTAATAATACCCCATCAAAAACATGTTGTGCATTCTGGTGAGAATTCTCGACATTTCACCTCGATAATCTGACCTGAAAATAATGCACCTAGGAATACGAGATGTTTGTCAATTCCTTCGAACAACTAAAAAACTGTTGTGAATTTGAAGCAATATTCTTTTTTTGCAACGAAAATTCAGTAAAATGAACATTTTCAGACGAGAAACTGACATTTTGAAGCTATACAACATTGCAAGAAATCATATGAGAATCTTGTCATTGAAACGGTGATTTTATGATTTTGGAAACTGTGATCGAAGCCATCAAGTTCAATTGCGCAAAAAGCCGGTAGGAGATCTTCACAAGTCGCCGAGTTCTTTATGATTTTGAATTGAATAAAATTGCGAAGGCCGAAAAACCTTTGTTTTTCAAAACATGGTAATGTACTTATAAGTTTGAAAATATTTTTCCAACATATTAATTACCATAAGCAAACGTATATAATAGTCTTTCATAGTTTACTCATCGGTGAACACATAATAGTTGAGTAGTGAAAATAACCACTGATGCTTTAGCATTGTAAAATTCCAACTCACCATCAACGTCATAGATTTGAAAAAGGAAGCTTATTTTCTCGTCGTGATTCTGAGTTGCAAACCGGCCCATGGACTCGAGGAACTCGGCCAGAGAAATGGCACCGGATCCATCCCGGTCAAAGATGCTAAAAACCCTCTCTGCAAAAAACGGCTGCAAGGACACCAAGAAAAGTGCACTTTTGTCATTCATGCGTCCCGCAAAAAAAAATCAGGGAAAGTTCTAACTGACCGTCTTGGAATACTGCTGATAGTCACAACTTGCAAATTTATACCAGCCAGAACTTGACTCAATTTCACGGGGACTTGGCAGCCATTCATTTTTTTTGTGGTGTCTTATTATTCTCACGATAATGGACGGATTTCACACGTAACCTTTTTCGTTTGTTTTCGTTTTGCTCTTTAGCTCATTATTCAATAAATTTTTTCCTAGGGATTTGGCGTGCGAAATCGGGTAATTTAGAAAATAAAGATGGTTCATACTCACATTTTTGGAATTGAGAATGGCCCTAAACTCATCGAGATGAATCTCCGAGTCCCGGCTCATGTGTTCCCGGAACATTTTTTCTAAAAGTGCCAAATTCTCGGCTGTCAAACTATGTTCCCTATCCCTGCACAGCAGAATGCATAATTGCCAAATGAATAAAAAAAACCAATCAAAGTTTCTTGAACATTTTCAGGGTATTTACCCTGGCATAGTCATGTTGGTGATGGTCTCCATGATCTCAGGCACTGAAACAACGTCGTCCTTGTCGGCGTCCACCAGCCGAAAGAACTTCTCCAACACCTTCGATTATTTTCGATAAAAAAATTCGAGTATAATGAAATTTACTTTTCCTTGGAAAGCCAGCAGGCATCAACTCGAAAAGTGTTCTTCCTTGTCCAAATAAGTTGAAGTTATTTCGCTGAATTTCCCTTGCGTGGGTGTCACCTCAATTTGATGGCATTTCACGAGCTTCAATTCAGGTTCAATAAGGGTCAAAAGTCAATCTGGATTGTGCTAGATTGGACGACGTTTTAGTTCGATTTACGATTAGGGTATATACAGACGACATTGGTCTGCACACTGGTATGGCAAGAATAAAAAAGGGGACTGGGCGACAATAATGCTTACATTTTTTTTCTGGTAAATATGAAGTGTATATTTTGTACAGTATATAGAAACTCACGCCTCGGGAAGAGAAGATCCTGCGAAAAACTGCGAGATTCACATTTTCTTGTTGCACTAAAATGTAAGCGACGCTTTCCACCAATTCCGCAAAATCTCGGCCAGCTGGATTGCTAAAATGTGGGACAACATTTCAGAATTCGCGACAATGTGCATCTATTTCGACAATTTAAGCAATCAGGAAATATGAAATGAATTCATTGGTGATGCTAATTTTCCCAAAAGAATGTCAACAAAATTATTGTTGGTTCAACAGCAGAGACTCATGAATTAATGTAAACGCTTCAGCAAATCTTGTATAGACAAAACTTCCAATTATACTGTAATTGCCTTTTCTGGACGTTTTCAGTTCATTCGCAACAAAAAATAAAAATAAACGTATCAAACTATATGCCACGCATCATGAGTGTCTAGTTGTTGAGTTTATTATAATCTTACAGTATTTGAATGATGATTTTTGCTATTGAGAATTAAATCCCATGTATACAGACAGGTTATTGAGAATGAAGGACACCAATGTACCCACCACTGCGTGTGTTTGAGGGAACTGATCCACTGGTCCTGAACCAAGTGATCCGCTTCCTGGTGGTCGAACAATCCAAACAGCTCATCCAGGAATTTCTGATGATTAAATTCAAGATGGAAATCGAAAATCATAGTCTGCAAAATGTATTCTTTTATAATGTGAGCGAATCCTATATATAGGCAGCCATACAATTTGACACGCAGGAGGTAATTTTTTTTTATTTTTATATCGTGAGGATCTGAAAACAAATAATGAATACAGTACTTGCAGTGGAAAATCGGGGATTTTTGAATGGAAGACGAGGAATCATTTCGCAATAATTCGACACCATCAAAAATAAACCCCCGCTTGCTGCTTAATTATAGTCACGTCAATGGACGCTAATCAATAATCAGAAATAACCTGTAAAACCTGCGTTTCTCTCTCTCTTTCCAACTCTCCCTTATTATTATAGAAGCAGAGTTTTTTCTTGTTCAAGATTACGGAAATCAGGAAATCATCGTGTGCCACGTGCTACTGTCCTTCAGCAGTAGCGTCTTTGAAAATAGGAAAAAGGAAACCAGATTTAAAACCAGAGGTCATCCCAATGTGTTTCTCGACTGATGATGGTTTTCACGCTTGCTCCTATGCTGCAGACTGAGATAAGAGCGAGGAACAGCACTGGGGAACAAGAGTTATCAGCTAGGGTGTATAAAGGGAAGTAGGAAGAAAGACGAGTTCTTTGACTTATTGAAGGGGTGACCCATGGTCAAGAGCAACGTACAGCAGTCCGAGTTTGATAAGATACCGCTTTCTTTTCAATCGTCATATGGACACTAAAACAGCTCAGCACACCAGGAGAGTACTCAAGTGAAGAACAGAAATGTGGTCATTCCGAAAGCGTTTCGCAAATTTGCAGCTTTTATGGCAGGCCCGAAATTCCTGCGAGGAATCCCGACGCTTGAACGTGTTGACGCATCACGTACATTTTTGATTTTCGATGAGTGTACTCGGAAGAAAGCACTTGCACGAAATAAAGAGCGAATGCCTCATATTGACCAATAATTTGCTTCCTCGGCTGCGTATTGGATGTAGGAAGAGGAAGTATACAGGGTGACCCAGAAAATCCATAACATTATACAGTAGCTGAAAGCAACAATCAAAATTCAAAACCATTCAAAACCCATCTCCACTGCGATTCCAATAAATTTCCTGATAATGTTTGTACTTGCTTTGATCACTATAAATGGGGATTCATTCGATTTTGAAGATGCAAAATCACGAATAAAAATAATGTGTTAGCCTTTTTAGTTTCGCTTATGAAGCCTCGAATTGAAAACAATGCCAAGTAAAGCAGTATTCTCATTAAAATATGCATGAAAATCAGCGAAGTACGGATGAACAAGCCGCTTTTTCATTGTTATCCAGATATCCACCTCAAGAAATTCGAATATTCCAGCAAGTTATTTTTGACAATGTTGGACGTGAAAGATGTAAATTTAAATTTTTTGATGGCGAAAAAAATACATGCACTCAAATGTGCTTCAACTTGACCCGAGTCAAGCTTCAGATTTTTTTCAAAAGTCATATTTCAAGCGATCCCTTTTTGTCAATTTTTAGGCAATCTTTGCAGTAACACATTTTCACCGAAATATCGGTATTTTTTTGAAGGTCATTTCTTCAAAAATTGAATAACTTCATAGATTCACACTTTTTCATCTGCAGGTGCTGCATGGGAGAAATTTTGAAAATGACGTTTGAAAGATGCAAGAGCATCGAATCTTTTGTAAAATTAAACGCAAGGCATTAAAAAAAAGCTCTTGAAATTCGGTCTCATCGCGGTGAAAAAAAAGAAGGATCGCTTCCAGCACATTCTGTGGATGCAAATGATCTTTCCTTTTCACATACAGTGCAGTATCTCGCAAATATACGAAATACGGGGTTTGTAGAATAAAAAAAAATGTCGATATTGACGACATAAGCCACCATGCAGATGTCGTTCCACCAGTTCCTTCCCATGACCGGAAGTCGTGATGAGAATTGCGGAAGTACAGTACGTATTTCTTTTAAGGCCCGAATAAAAGGCTCAATTAAAAGGGGGGGGGGGGGGAGATGAGATGCTTCGTCAAATCTCGACAAAACGGAAGCTGCGCAAAGTAGTTGCTGCTGCTGATGAGACAGAAGTGGTGGCTGCACATCAGGAATTGAAAGCTCGAGAGAGCAAGAAACAAGAATATAACGAAAGAGTTGAATGGCAACCCGTTCTCTTGAATAAAGAGGGAGGTGGTGCAAGGCATGCCACGCACCAGATGATTTATTCATCTCATGGATATACTGTATATCATATACAGTCGTAGCTTTAAAAATAACCCGATTCACTCAATTATAAGAGGAGACCCCCATGTTCTTGTATTCAACAAAAGTCGTTTTCCAAATAGCCCGAAATACTTTCAATTACATACGGTCAAATCATCTTCAGTTTGATGCCCATCAGTGATTTTTGAAACACTACCATGTGCAAGCAGTTTTCTAATTTTCATTTTTTTTTGCACGAGACATGTATATAGGGTGTCCATAATTTGGAGTCACCACGAGCTGTACTCTATATATAGTATATTTTGTGTGCAAGTATAATAAATATGCAGAGAGGATAAGCGGCTCACGGGGTCGGCAAGGAGGCGGAAAAAGTCGTGGGCCTTCAAGAGGCGCCCATTGGGACAGGCCTGCGTGAGCAAGAGGCGACACGCGTTGAGGCGGTCGCGGCGCACTTTGTCTTGCAGCTTCTCGGCGTCCTTGGCCGACACCTGGCCACTTCTCAACAGCGTGGCCGACACGGACAACTGCCGCCTCTCGCTGTTGTTGCCTTGGTGCTGTTGTTGGTGGTTGTGGTTAGGGCTGCTATTGTTCTCTGGCCCATCTCCTCCGCCGCCACCAGCAGCACTCGATACTTGCAACTCGTTGCCAGGCAACGTCTCCAGCTTCAGCACTGCCGGCGACGGAGACCGTTTCGGCGCCGGCGACTGCAACAGCACTCGCGGCTCGGCGTCCTCGGCGTCCGGACTCGACACCGTCACCGTCAGCAACTGCTGGCGATGACTCGGCACTACCGCCTCCTCCTTATTACTCTCCTTCATTCTCTCTATACACCACAGTATATACGCCCCTAGCTTTCTCCCTTCCTTCTTTGCCCACCTCCTCTTCTTTCCTTATTTTTTTTTTTTTTTACACGTCTACAATCGCAAACTTTATATGGGACCAAAGCACAAAGTATTATTATAGAAGCCCTGAATACAATTCCGCGTTTCTCTAGCTTTGCTTTCACGCGCCCGCTCTCACTATATGTTTGCAACAACGAACAAATGAACGAAAAAATGAGTCTCGCTGCAAATCCGTTCTCACCGACAACTGCTGGTGTCGACTATACAAAGACAAGAGGGAAACGTTAATTTGGGGGGAAAAACCCCACGAAAACAGGCTCAGCCGATGAAGCCAAGTTTCCACTTTTTTTTTTCAGGGTGAATATGCAGTACAATATATAGTAGATGGAATCACGAGTATGCGACACGAGTTCAGTTTATTTCCTGCTGAGCAGGCCTCAGTTATACAATATCTATAGAAAAAGTTTAGTTCAGGTTCGAAAGATATGACGAGACGACGATGACAAGAAAGTGTTTCTATCAAAACTGATCATGGTGGTAGACCTTCAATTCTAATTTTGTTACGTTCAATCTGGTTAAACTAGATCTTTTGCAAGGGTACAACTCGATATTCAGAATTCCTATATTTAACTCCAATGGCTCAGAGGCACGAAATACGTGGCTTCCTGACATGCGGGCGATTCGACTTAGGGGCATTTGTTGAAAATCCAAAAAGTCTGCCCAACATCTGGACAATGTCTTGAGATGGATATGGACACTTTTTCAAAACTTCTAGACTTTCTTAAAATTTGCACGCAGCTTCAAAACATTTGAGATTTTCCATCTTCCAACAAAACTCAAATCGACCTCATTAGAAAATTTCCCGTGTTTCATGATTCAAAATAGGCTAATTTTAGGCTTTTCTCCAACATCTTTGAAGGCTTGGCTTTCTTTTGTCTTCGTTTTTGGGCTCTTTTCTAGCCAAAACATCGGATAATGCGTGGTTTTCTTCAGCAAGCAATAAGGTCATTTTTGGTGTATTCAAGTTTAATAATAATTTTTATTTTTCAGTTTTGGGCCGAGTAAAATTAATCTTTTCTTGGGTTGAGTAAAATTAATCATTTGTTGGGTTGAGTAAAATTATGTATGATATATTTTTTTCTATTTTCCTGTTGATCACAAAATTAATTTTTTTTTTCAGCAGGAGGATACAGCCATTTCAATACACAAACTCATTGAAGTTTAAGGGAAAACAAGATCCGACATGGGGACATTTCGACTTCGAAGAGACACTAAGGTCCAAGCACGAATTCCGTCCGCATCTCGGGGCATCACTGTACTCGTACTTTCCTCAACTTACACTTCATTGGAATCAACAGAAACAAAAATGATCATAGCCATTTTGTTGAATCGTTCAAATATTGAGAGGATTTTTTCCCCCGAGAAACTGATCGAATCAGTTTTTCAAAGATTTATTCCGTATTATCATTTTTCCATCGCGTGCTGGGAATCTGTGCGGGAGTAGTATACTTTTCAAAGGCCCAGTGAATAAATAAGAACGTTTTGCAGACGCAAGACCGCTTCTTTCGTCCACGATTATAAATGTTCAGTCAATTCAAAGGGCTTTAAATAAGCACTGACTCTCCGCATGCACAAAAATGTATAACTTTCATTAGCATCGAACACGACGGAAATCTCGTCATGTGTCACGCGCGGAAATTGTTGAGGAAGGCTTCCGAATTCGCATAATAATATGCTTCTAACCCTTGAAATTGTATCACTTTTTTCCGTGTACGAAACACCGCAGCAAAAAGATTACTTCGTCAAGTTCACGAGAGAGTTCACAATGCGATTCAGTCTGGACTGAAGACGATCGGACGACTGACGAAGCAGATTCGAAAATGTTATTTTTTTTCTTCATAATGGTGTGACTCCCGGAAGCGGGTTCGTGTTGCAGAGCAAAGAAAACGGAAACGAGTTTTCTCTTTATTCCAAAGAAACTGGTTGGAGAAAAGAGAAAGAAAGAACAAAAAATAGAGACGAAAAGCAGCATGTCTTCGAACTCGAGACAGCAGACGTATTCGGTGATAAAAATGCAACTTCAAGTCCTTTATGCGTGTATATGTCTTTCTTTTCTTGATGAGGGGGACGACACAAGGAAATATACAAGAGAAGCAGGAAATGAGGAAACGACTTTCAAGATTTGCACCATGTGTGGGAAGAGAGGCATTCTTGCCAGTCCATTTTTGGTTCGTTCATAATGATATACTCTCAGTCTACAGTACGTGGGTCTTTTCATAATTTTACAAAATCGATCCCAAACGCATCGTTTGAGGCAAGGCCACCCTTCACATCATTCTAAAAAAATATTCGATGAGTCGTTCGCAGTTTTGATACACCTCAGGTCGACCGCATTGGAAACTTGCGCTTAATTATAATGAAGACCAGCATTTGATTCTCACAGAACTGGATTAATTTTTTTAATTAAAGCATTTAGAGTTTATTTTTTGGGATTATGCCCATCAGCACAAAGTTGGAAATTCTGCCTATTTGCTAACATATAATCCAGTTGATTTTTCATTCAATCAGCGCACGCACTGAAAGGTTACAGGTTTTGCAGCAGTGCATTACTTTTACCTCAAATTGCTCTGAAAATTATGTCAAGGATTAAAACAGGAGAAAAAATTGATGATCCGAATATACGTTCAAATTGATAACATGAGCTGAACATGGCAACTAAATGTTATGGGAAATTAATTTACAACATTTTTTTTACCCCTGCGTGAGACTCCTATAAACCAGGTGAGAATAAGATGGGGGGAAATCTGTAAAAATAATGAAAAATAATATTAACGTGGAAAAATGAGGAAGATCCCTGACTTATGCCTGAAATAATCTTGAGGATGGATGATACATTGTCAGAATAACACAAGTATTATTGCAACTTTTAGAGATTTCAAGTGGGTGCCAAATGCGTCGGGTATTTCTCTCCATCGTTTCTACTCCACTCATCATCTGGGAAAGCCAACAACGGCCATCAAGTGAAACAAACAAACAAAAAATAGCACAAGCCCAAAAATAGCATTTTTTTCTCCCGCTCGTATTGACCTGTCCTTTGCAAAGAAAAAAAAAGCAATCTCTTGTGCAAAAATTTTACGAAAAGACCCTCGCAAATACTGAAGGAAACAACGTGACTCTCATCACAGATGCTTCTATTCAACAACTACTGAACACACATGATGTATATATATGAGCCACAATCGAATCAAGCACTAACAATTTCTTCTCTATTACATTGTACTTCAACTCGCCTCTTGTCAATGTTCTTTTTTCTTCTTATTTTTTCCACGCCATTCCTTTTCATCGTTCGTCACGGGATTAGTATTTTAATTGATGGAGCGTGCGTTTGAATGAATGAATGAAGGAGTGAGTGAGTGAGTGAGTGAGTGAGTGAATGAATGAATGACTGCAGTACCTTTTTTTCGGAACATAAATTCTGTTGCACACACACACACACACACACGTATTGTACTGTTGCACGTATGTACAGGCGATGATGGAAGGAATAACAAGTCGGGGAATAAATTGTGGCCAAGGCGATGTCAGTCAAGTTTAATTACTCGCGTCGGAATGCGAAGCCGAGTCTGACGCCTTCATTCCACAGAGGCGTCTATTATTCTCACTCTCATTATTCACAATCCGTAAATAATAATAATAGAGATGTATCTCTCCTTTATTTTTCTTTTTCTTTTTTTCAACCCAGCGATGACAAGCAGAACACCTACATATCAGAAACCATGTTAGTTCTTCTCTCAGTGCTGTGTGTCCGAGAAAGATGCCCTTCACGTCCTCGTCATGTGCGCCTTCTTGCAAAACTTATTTTTCCCCCATTAACGCAGCAGCAGCAAGAATGAATGAATGAATGAATGGATGCATGAATAAATGGATAAAGGAATAATAATAATAACAACAACACATTTTGACAAGTGCGTGGTTCGTGGTGGGAATATAAGGCATTTGTTTCCAGGAGATTATTACGGACGCGCGCGAGAATTGATGACTGCGTTCGCCAAAACTTAGCGAGGCATGAAATGCCGGGTGTAATTTTGAAAAGCTACCCCTCGGAGCGAGGGACACAATAATTCAGACTCTGCAATTCCGGCTGCACCGGGATAAATTCCGAGTATTATTAGTGACTCGGCAATTACGGAAAGGGCACCGGGTCACTCTTGTTCAATTACCCCACATTTTATCCGGAGTCTGGCGGAAAGCAAAGGTCAATTGCGAGGCTTGTTTGTCTGGGAAAAACAATGACAGGAACACATATACGTATATATATATATATATATAGGGAGGAAACAAACTTTGGCAGAATATGGAGGGGGGGGGGAGGGGATTATAATCAACGATGAGGTGATGACCCTAATGTTTATTTATTCCCACTTTCGACACTTTCGCAGAGAAAAAAGGACGAAGAAAGGAAAAGATAATATGGCATCACTTGATTCAATTATTGCATGCTGCTGTGATGTGACGTCTTCCTTGTCGATCCTCATCGGGCTTGGCTCCAAGACAGCCAGAGGTCGCCCCCACAAAACAGCCTTGGTTCACTTTCTCCTCTGTTTCATTATTCAGGGAAAAGTCATTCGAAAAACCCTTCAAATTAAAATCATACTTCAACTGCTGCCTTAAAAAATAAAATATTCAAATATTCGAGAGTAACAAACAGTATAGGTTTGTTCATTATTTGCTGAATGGACCCAACTACAGTATCTTACTGCATCATAAAGTATTCCAATTATATCACATGCTCTGAATATTCCTCACCATAGAATTGAATGGAGAAAAATAAACAGGAATTCAGATGTACTTCATACCCAGCCGTATGCGAAGAAAAAGGGTTATGCTTTTGCTTATTTTGGGACATGTCATCTGGTTTTTTGGAATTTAAAGTGCCGGATGAAAACATTGTTCAAGTTATTGGAGTGCTACAGAAT